AACGTCAGGCGAATAAACATATTGTCCCAGCGATTGAGTCTTCTTCTTCTCATGTTACGGAGTGTTCTTAATGGCAAAAATATAAGCAACGATAAACTTACGTACCGCAATACTGCCAACGTTAACCAACCCTCCTGCAAGTTAAAGCAGAGCAACAAAAAGAACCGCGCCTTTCAAAGATGTCTCGCTGAGCAAATATCGGAGTAGAACGAGTTCTGTCGAACAACCTCGCAAATATCTTGCCACAGGTCACCGAAAAATTGCACATTCAAAGAGGTTCCACTTTATTATCATTTGATGACGCGTCCATATCACAATATATAATGAGCGCCATTAACACCAATATGTTTTCGAATATTATGGAGCTGACAGAAGTCGTAACCACATATCGAGGCAAAAATGTGAAACACCTTGCAGCATTCAAACCAATTAACCACTTACACATAGGAGATCAAAAGATGTAAGCAATTCGCACCCATATAACACTTTTATTAAACGGAGTATATTGACGTTAATAATAAAACTCGCAAGCAGCAAAATAAAACCTGGTACTTAGTACGAATGTGATCAGGCCTGACTCAGCTAGCCTCAGCAACGCGCTAGAGGAGGCAACCTCGAACAAACAATCTGGGCGGCGCTTTAAGACCCACTTGTAATGAAAATCTTCAAGAAACCTCGTTAAAAGACGACATAAAAGCCTCGGCTTTGTGGATGACATTGTTGACTAATGGCAGCAAAGACCAGCATGGACTGAAGTTAGGATGGCGACCCTTGATAGTTTATTGACATTTCAATATTAAAAAAACACACAAAAACATTCAGGCGGAGAATACATAAGAGCCTCGATAAATTGAGTTCAGCCTGGCTATCCTGCTCAAGTTTGGATACATGGAACTGTCACATGAACGGGCTATCATGTGACTAATGAAAACCGATAATAGGATACGTACCTCCTTAACTTCGACCACTAACGGTGGTATGTCAAGTCCATTCATCATCATGCTCAGACCTTCCTCGGAATTGATATCAACAGCGTGACGAAGAGGCTCATTAAACAGGTTAAGTACATGTTTCAGCGGGGGTGTGCCATCAGAGCCCGTTTCGTTTGCAATGCCACTCTGTTCAGGATTGCCTTTACTTTCTGCAGTTGATGGAATCGAGAACGAAGAA